TGCAGGGGATGTTGGGTATGCTACCTAATGTCCCTCACAGTTGAAAAGATCTGTGTGACCCTTGGATATGAATGGGGAGACCTAGCTGGGTCCTGTGCATCGTCATCAGGGCATTGTATGGGCTCAAGGTCTCTTGTGCCATGTGGTGGCAGATAGCTTGCAGACACCCTTATCCAGATTGGGCTTCAACCCTTCCAGGCTGATAGCAACATTTGGTTGAGAACAAAGTTGAACCACTATGATTATGTCGGGGTCATTGTTATGATTTCTGGTGTTCTCCAAGGCCCCTCACCAAGTGATGAACGCCTCAAGGACATCTACCACCTTGAGATGAAAGGAGTAGGCACCCCTGAGTACTACAGTGGAGGAGACTTGACCTTCAACCACTGAGACAGGTCTCTGGGAGTTCTCTGCCAAGACCTACAATGAGAACTATGATCCCCAAGCTTGAACACTCTACAAGATCACATTAGAAAAACTATGGATCCCCCATGAACACAGAAGATCACCCCGAGTTGGATGAGTCCCCCTCACTTGGACAGCACCAGAGTACCAGTACCAGATGTTAGTTGGTTGTGTTCAGTGGGCAGTTACACTGGGAGAATTGACATTCCAGTACACTGTCAAACCATGGCTAGGTATGGTAGGGAACCCAGGGAGGGTCAATGAGGCCGGTTTGCTGAGGATGTATGGGTACCTCAAGTTACAGGCCAAGCTTAGGCTTGCTGCCAACCTTCCCCATGCTGTCCTAGGGGATTTTCCAGTTCTCTGATAATGATTGGACCGGATTGTTACCCTGACTCCATGGAGCCCATTGACCCAGATGCCCCTGAGACCCTTGTCCCTAGAGATCACCCAAGTCATCATGGTGGATGCAGCCATGCATCAAACAAGATTGACATGTCCAGTGTGTGCCTCCTACATTGCTTTCTTTGGACAAGATGCCCACCAAGTCCGACTCCAAGAGGTTGGCCACATTGAGTGCTCACCTATGCGCTGAGTTCGGTCACAGCAAGGATTTGAGTGTGAGGCTGCCCTTGCCATGAGTACAAGGCCAGAGATGTTGGGAGTTGAAGTGGAAGAACCCAACCTCCATCTGGGTTGACAAATGTCAGTTGTCAACAACCTTCAGTGCCGTCCTCCTCCCTCAAGAAGAAACACCATGCCTGCGCCTACCCAAGTGCAGGGAAGCTGTTGCCTGGTGTTGCCGGGTTGGGAAGATCGCATAAGGATGGAACCTCGCGGATATGGGACCAAGCCTCTTGGACCCCACAAGATGTACCGGCTCTGCAAGCAGGTACTTTACGGGCGATTTGATGATTGAAGAGCCCACCTTACCCCTGTATGTTTGTCTCTGTGTTTGTGCCACCAACCCAAGGGAGTGACAGGAGTTGGATTGGAGCCACATGATGTGAAACATTACTGCTGGCTTCCTACTGTTGTCTGTCTTTGGTGTGTTACACAGTAGTGCTGGTTTCTCAGCTTGTCTGTCCCTGGAACAAGTGTGCTGCCTGGAAGTGTTTCACTCTGGGATAATTGTATGGTTGGCCTGTGCTCTAAGTCTTTAGGCATCGACTCATAAGTATCTTTGGAGCAAGACTCCTAGATGATGGAAGATACTATGAGGTCTTTGGACAAGCATGATTACTATAGGTTTGATGACATTATGAAGTCCTGGACTATGAATGTCCCTATATATCAATGTTTGGTGTCAGGTGAAGTCTTGGATGAAGGTTTATGTGCAAAGAGTGGCTGGAAGTCCCGTTTACGGCCTGTAGGAAGTCCCATTTCGCGGCCATTCGAAATATGCCACTGTATTTGACTTTAGGAGCCCTGTGTGCTCACAATTCTTAGTTTAGCATAACAAATAAGTGTACCTGTTGACCAGGACAAAGGATTGTACCTATTGCACCTGATAGCACCTGCTATTTGCACCCAAACTACCCTTGAAACCCGTCTTGAGTTGACCTCAAGACTTTGCCAATGGAGCACATCAAATCGCACCAGAAAACACAAGGCCATCGAAACACTTCCCCTAAAAGCACAACTGAACTGCAGAGCTGACAAACTGCAGGCAGTTACATGAACAGACACATGAAACAGACACTCCAAGGTACTCCGATTTCCGGCAAACCTGGCCAGCTGCACCTTCCCAAAGGCACATGCACATACAAGCTTCCCAGAACACTGCTGCATCTAAGGAACGAACAGCCCTTGTTTGACCACATTGTTAAACTGAATCCGGGTTGGGACGAGGACACCCCTGCTCTGGTTGATTGGACAGCCCATGGTCGAGCTGTCAACCGTCACGAGATCCACAAACCGACAATAGTGAAGTTTCTATTCCAATTGTTGCCAGTTGGGAAACGGATCCACCGAGACGACCCCAAGTACGATCACCACTGCCCCCGTTGCGGTGGTGATCACGAGACAGAGACCCATGTTTACAGATGCCCGCATGTTGACGTGGATTTGTGGCGAGGGACCATGCAACGAGCGATCGGCACAAGGTTGCGCAAGGATTCCACCGACCCCTTCCTCCTTGAAATTGTTTTGGATGGACTACAATACCACTTTGAAGATCGATTTCTCCACCCATGGCATTACCCAGACAGGTATAGGGACCTTGTTGACACTCAAAATCTCATTGGTTGGGATAACTTCCTGAGAGGACGTTTGTCCACGCACTGGGCTAAGCATCAAGATGCATATCTGCATCGGGTCGGCTCCCAGGAGACAACCAAGACAGGGCAACTCTGGGTCACCAACCTAGCCTCACTGCTCATCCAGCAGTGGTGGAACCTGTGGGAGGATCGCAATGCTGCCAGGCATGGCAGAGACAGGGAAGACCAGTGGAAGAAGAAGCATGAACAGCTTCAGCGGGAGGTGGAACTCATTTACGAGAAAGCGGATCTGATCCCAGCGGAGCTGGTGGAGTTTATCTTCAAGCGACCGCTTGACGAGCAAATGGCAAAGGGCCCAGGCGACATCAAAGCGTGGCTTGCCAATTGGCTGCCCGTCGTCGACAAGGCACTTAGGGACGAGCATGCCCGCACAGTGCAGAACACTGACACAGGGTAACTACACACAGAGGGGTCTTACCGTAGAAATAGATGGCAATCCAGCCAAGGGTAGCAAGTTAGTCGTACAGCACCCTCCGGAGTTTTGTTCATTTTCTCCTGTGGGGGGCTTACACTAGGCCCATCCTAAGTGGGCGCACTCGTGCGCCTGAGGTATATGGGTTCGTCACGGCACCGTTAAGCAGATCGTCTGACGAGGTGTAGCCTTTAAAATAAAATTTCGTTATTTTTCTCTTGGTGAATGCAAAATCTGCAGTGTCAGTGATATGGTTGAGCCACCAGGTGTGGACGTGATTATAGAAGGTCTGAAAATCAGACACCTTTCTGGAAAAGAGGGCCTTGTTCCAGAGGTTCACTCCAAGGGTTCCTTGTGAGTGGGGCATCAGAGGTAAGAGCTGTAGGAATCCAGGGAAAGTTGCTGGGCTTGGATTGCATGGGTGTAATCCCAGCCAAGATTGATTGATCTGGGCTTTGACTTGGAAATATAGGTCATTGGAGTACTTGGAGGAACTGATAGGGATGAAGCAGGTTTGGCTTCCCTCCACGTACATGAGCTTGGCCAATTCCCAGCTTGTGAGGTGAAGGATCGTCTGCACTGGTGTCTTGTGGGCTTCGAAATGGTCCAGGATGGCAGTGGCACCGGCCAAATTCGTGTTGAGCAGCAACACGCCTGGGGAACCCCCCGTCCGAGTTTCCACGCCCCGCAGCGTGGAAACTTGAACCCTGATGGGTTCTCGCAACTATGACCCTAATCATGGTTGCCGAGAGGACTATCTCACAATTTGCAAAATTAATTCCCACGCTCCTCACCTACAACTCAAGTACATCTCTACATCTCGCAGGTCATCACCTGCGTTCCGGAAATGGATACCCCACATGATGATGCACCGTATTAGCTCCTCAATGCCTCTCGAACAAGATTACCCTTAAGGCAACGACGCCCGTCCAAGACCACATTTGGCAAGATCAACAGCGGCAACCATGAATCACTAAAGCCAGCGACCTAGCCAAGATCAGCCATTGAACTGCCGATCGCAAGAAGGTTGTCTCTCTCTCAGCTCACAATTCTTCATTCAGCCGACGCTGAAGGCAAGAACCTAGATTAGATTAACCCACCTCTCCCTCCCTGGTTGCACGACTCAGGGCTGTCCCGTGGAACATCACATTCCCGGGACTCCCCTTTGCCGTGTGGGATCCATCCGGGACTCCCCAGTCCCGAATGGTACCCCGGGGACTGGAGACGGTCGGCTCAGTAAATGGCCGAGTCTCTCCACTCACCTAATCCTCTACTAGTCGTGTCTAGCTGCTCTGGGCGAGCGCAGCTTGTCTGCGCTCGTGTTCTCCAACCTTGTGGGTTAGGAATACCTTCAAGTACAAGAGATTGTCATCTCGTTCCCACATTGTCCATTGATCCTCTCGAATTACACGTTCCCATATAGCCTTGAATCTTGTTTCCACAAGGGCTTCCACCTCAGGGCTGAGGTTGACTTGGATGTCCCCAGTGTGTATCCTATCTGCATCGGTTTCCATGAGAAAGACAGCTGGTCCATCTTGTGATGGTTCATCTTCCTCATTGGTTTCCTCGTCTTCCAGTGTCATCGATTCGGACTCCTCACTTTCACTTTCAGACCACATCTCAGCGTAGTCACCTGATTGAAAGCCTGAATTGAGGGTGGATATGTCCAGGCGGTCCCCGTCAGCAGTGTTGCCAATGGAGGATGCCTCTGATGGATCCAAGGCCACCCCATCTGCAGCAGAGCGTTCTCTGAAGGCCCCAGGGACCCTGAAGTGGATGCTGGCAATTTGGCAGCACTTGGTAATAAATTCCAGATTGTCAACCACCTCAAATTCTCGCTTGAACTGTTTGGTGTTTGCCAGTCGTTTAGATGGCGGTCAGCCCTCGTTTCAAACACTTCTGTCTCAGGGTTGTACATCTTCTTGCTTCTGTCTGAAGGAGGGTGTGAACCAATTCCAGGCACTTGGTCCCCAGTGTTTTGTCATGGCATGCCCAAACCTCTGGGACAAGGCCAGGGCTTCAGCATACCGATATTTGTCGACAGGGAGTAGCCAGATGGATGGGTCCTTGGTGGACTGGTCGAGGCCAATGAAAACAGGCTGTTTTGGCCTGTTTGAGTTGCTATCAACCATAGATGTCACTGCTGAGTACAGTGTGGATGGGTCCTGTGGTGAAAGGGGCCCTGGGTTCCCAACAACATTCTCAATGTAGATGACTTGGATGCTATCAACTATAACAAACTGTTTGTCTACCAAGGAGGTGAAAACCTGATCCAGTGTTTCATCCTGGGTGGCCAAGTATTTGTGGGAGCCACAGTCAGGTACCACTTGGAGTTTCTTGTGTTGGGGGTATCCAGATCGGCGTCCTGGGGCATAGATATTTGAGAGAAGGGAGAGTACTGAGTCATAGTGTTCTTCAGCACAGTGTACATGGACCGCCATGGGATTTTTGGTGCCAGTTGGGTCCCACCGTTCATTCTGCTTTGTCTGTATCCGTTGGTAGATCAGTTCAATGGGGTACCGGTATTGCTGGTTGTCCTTGGACTCTTTGATCTTGTAGAGAGGGTCCTGTCGTATGGCTTCACTTAGGTTGGCTCCATGGGTCCAGTATCCTGTTCCTTTGAGCCAGGCTACTGAGGCAGTTTTAGGGGACTGGATGGGGGCAAGTTCAAGTTTGAAGGTGATTCCATTGTCCTCTTGTGTTTCATCCCATCCTCCGAAGAAGGGTTGGAAAAGTTCCAAGAGTTCATCCCTTGGCATGTTATGGGCGATGAGAATCTTTGCAGAACTGGAACTGCCATTTGGCCTAAAGAAGTGATTGTAGAAGATAGACTTGAACTGATCAGCTCCTCTAGGGAATTTAGCTTGGTTGGAGTGAAGGTGGATCCAGGCAGAATGGAAGGTAAGAGGGCTTGCTGTGGGGTATCGCATGAGTTTGGCTTCAGGTTCAATGGAGAAGAGTTGCATCAAGAAATCCACCATAAGTAGTCGGGAGAGTTCTCCAATGGCGCTTCCGCGGACCTTTCGGTCCTCTGGCAGTGGGGCATGGTTGGGGAAGTGTACCTTGAATAGGGTCTTATGGGTTGGCTCTCCTGCAGGTGGTGTAGGGCGGTTGACTGGATCAGAGTTTGCTGTGGTTGAGGCGTTGGATTGACTGATGGGTTTGCCGGAGATGCCTCTCATCTTGAATGCGGTTGCTTTGGCTGGTTTTGCTGTGGTTGAACCAGATTTCTTGGATGGTTCAGGGTCCGCGTCTGGTGGGGATTGTGCTTTGTCCTTCAGGGTGGTGTATGCTGGTCCAATGGTATTGTGTGCAAGAAGCTTGAGTCTGACCATGAATGTGTTTTCAGTGAACTTGGATAGTCTGGAGTCAAAACATGGGAACTCTTCAGGGGGTGTCATTGCCAGGCGGAGAAGAAGTTTGACCCCTTTTCCTTGGGACCTTGGGTCTGGGTAGACATAGGGGTCACCACTGTGTCGTTTGATGGTGGTCTCCATGCCCTCCTTTAGGATGAAGTATCCCCATTCTTCAGGTGTTTTCCATAAGGATTTGTGCAGGTTCTGCTGGACGATGGGTGAGTTGGCCCAGATTCTGAAGACTGCTGCCACTTGGGGGTGGTTGGCTCCTTGTGAGAGTTCCAGAGTGTTGAAAGGTAGGATCTTCTTGAGGGTGATCTCGCGAGTGATACTGTGCCAGAGTCTAGTGATTTCAGTCTTGGGATCAAGGCATAGAGTGGACAGTTTCTGTACTATGTCTTGGTCTTTGAAGGATTCTGGGGCTGGGGAGGGGGTGGATCCTGGGTTTCCTGGTTTGTTGGGCTGCTCAATGCTGTCCTGGGAGTCTGATTTGCCATTTGTGTCACTGTTCATGAGTGCAGCTGTGGCAGCGGCTTCCTCTTCTTCAGTGAGTTCATTGGGGTGGTCTTCTGTTGTGGTCCCTGGTTCCTCCAACTTGCGACGGGATACAGCTTACAATTCAGCTTTACAGCTTTACAATTACCAGGCTTATTCTAGAACATAATCAATAACTGCTCACTTATTTGGAAATACAAACTTTACATCTCTTAGATCCCTAGATTAATCAATGCACAATGGTATTGTCGCATGGTAGCATGCGAGGTTATGAGATGTTACTCATTCTTATTCTTATATGTCTATCCCTTATGGTTGTCAATGGAATGAACTACTCCTTGATGCAGATGGCTCCAGAGTTTCCTCATGCACTCTTCATTAGTAGTCCTTCCCCTTATTGCAATTTAATTCCCTTGGATTCGCTCGTAAGCAATCCTCCTCTTGTTGGTGATTCGCTCGTAAGCAATCTCCCATCTCCTGTCGTCGATCGAAATCGCGATGAGGATCCTATACACGATGGACTCCTATGTGAGTCCACCTTTCTTAATCCTATTGACGATCATAATCTCAATGAGGATCCTATTATCTCGACCGCTGCAGTAGCCACTAATGTTACGGCTAATGCTGTTATATCTATCACCGGCAAAGCTTTGCATCACCTCACCTATCGAGTTAACAGCAGAGGTCGCGATCGAGTTAACAGCAGAGGTCGCGATCGACAAGTTAACAAAATTCATCGAAAAATGAGCTCCGACTGCATATGGAAGGCTCGGCTTGTGTGTCAGGCTTCGAGTCATGCTTCGAGAGCTATTTCCCTCTCTATTATCGGTTCGAACTGCCTGAGTCATGCATGGCTTATTTCTTCGCAAACTCCTCACTTTTTCATTCCAAACGTGAAAAACAACTGCACGGAGCGATCGATCGCTCCGTGCAGTTGTAACTGCACGGAACGATCGATCGCTCGTGATGTTGTTGTTCATGTGGCTGTTGGTCGATCGGCAGTTGGTCTCTTACCCAGGACCGGCATTGGTCGTTTGCAACAACAACTACAAGCCAGTTCAAACGAGAACTCGCTTGCAGCGAACTCCCGTGTCATTCAAACGACCGATTCGCTAGCTCGCCGTTTAAACGACGCGAAGAACAACAACAATAAAGCTCATAAATTCCATCTTCGATTGACTCGATTGACTGGATATCCACCATCCTCTTGTTCCATCGTTGCCATACATTGCGCTCTGTTGATTTTTACTGGCGCTCCTATTGATGGATTGACGACGCTTGCCTCTGTTCAGCATCACTCATCACTCAATCAACTCGCATCAACAGTACACAGCACCAGCGCATTCTTCAGTCCTAGAGGAATTGCCAAGCTTTCTTTGAACCAATCCCATTCGAGGCACATCAGACTCAACCATGACTGCAGACATATGACCGCAGTTCATTCAGAGCTCCTCCAGCACATTTGGGAAAACCAAAGAGAAGACAAAGCTATACAGAAGCCCCTACGACTTGGATGGTATCAACCACCCATGGAGCCTGGACAGGAACTGGTCAGATGGACTGGGAAAGAACCTCAAAGCACCCTATGCTCTCAGGGGTTTCCATGGTGTGACCATCTGAAACATCACTCACACTCCAGCCTATCGAACTTATTGGCATGCAAGAAAGGGACTGCAAGGATTCCACCAGTCTCACGATCTCGACATCTGACTGACGTTCCAAATGCCTTCTGATGGTCGTCCCATGTTTTAGACCCTCTCTTATCGGCGCTGTTGAATCGTATGATGACTGAAAATGGAATGGAAAGGGTCTTCCAGCTTGTTGTTGCAGATCCTCAATACTAACACAATATTAATAACATCAACATGTCCCCTCACTTACCTCCTGGTACCAGGGGTTTCTCAGAGTCTATGAATGGAAAAATGGCATCAGGACCTCACAGTCAATGGGGTCGGACTCATCGATGCTGGAACTCTGATAGCACATCCTGTTTGCCAGTATGATCTAACAAACCTTGCCTGGTCAGGAAAGGCTGTCTTGAACTCTTGCAACTGAGCACTCCAGTGCACTCCAGGAAGAATGAAATCATATGTTCTAGAGCCAAACACAATGGCCCCAACTTCTCTTGGCTCTTTCTGCAGAAAATATACAGACCTTCTCTCAGTAGATTGAAACCCTCAAAGCCAGGCTT